TCATCATCATCATCATCATCATCATCATCATCATCATCATCATCATCATCATCGTTGTTTTTAATGTTCCTGTTCATCTTGATAATACGACAAGTATTGTAAGCCAGGGACACGTTGTACAGTTGTACACTTTAAACTTCAATCTCTGTGCTCGGCTCGTGCTGCTAATACGGTGTGCTTGTTGGTGGATCGGTTTGAGTCGGGTCGAGTTTCTAGCCCGATTGAGGGCTCAAAGCGGCTATCGTGGCACAAGCCGCTCGCGCCCAACTCGTCGACTCAAAGACAAACGCGTTTGTTTCCAGGCAACGAGTTGGGCAATCGACCCAACCCGACCCGACCCGACCCGATCCCATCAGCAATGGGCACCTGGTATTAAAAAAAAACAAAAAACGTGTTTGCTTTCAGATGACGAGTCGGGCGATCGACCCGACCCGCAATGGGCACCCCTATAAACTACCTGTACAACCATCACATTATAACAAGAAGAAGATGGGGATGGATTGGGCATGTTCTGAGAAGAGAACCAGACTCTGTTGTAAAGGCTGCCATTCTCTGGACACCCGAAGGACATCGCAAGAGGGGCAGACCTGAAGTGACCTGGAGACGCACAGCGGAGTCTGAAATGAAGTCTGGGAACCATTCGCGGGGCACATTGACCAGGATGGCCCAAAACAGACAGAGCTGGAGATCCTTTGTTGGTGCCCTAATCGCCAGATGGCGTAACGAGTAGTGAGTAACAACCATCAGGAGTAAGGGAGGCAACCAAGACAATCAGTGTCTTTGTGAATTCCAGAGTTCTGATGATACATCTGTGTTACTGTTAGCTGCGACCTTCTATTTCGTCTACTCTCGGGATTGGGGGAGGAAGGAGGGGGGGTTCGGGGCGGTTGGGGGGTGGGGTATTATCTTGATATCATATACGTTAATTTTGTCTTCGCCGATCAGTAAGAACACTTTGTATAAGATACTTTAGAGGTAACATACAGTCACAAGACTTCAGTGAGAGTACCTTACCGACGTAATTAAGAATACTTTAATAAGAATACGACAATAATAATACTTTAGTAAGAATACGTTTATAATAGCACTTTAGAGAGAATACTTTAACAGAAACACTGTAGTGAGAATACACTTCACTTTAACTTTAAGAACGATATTTCAGTGAGAATATTTTCTGAACGATATTTCGGTGAGAATACTTTAAGAACGACATTTCAGTTGGAATACTTTAATGACAGTACTGTAGTGGCAGTAAATTAATCGAATAGTTCAGTCGAAACACTTATATGGAAACGAAATATTTAAATTGGAATATTATTTGAAATCGATAAATTAAGACGTCCAAATACATTTTTTTAAAAATAGAATAACGACTGCACCACAGAGAATTTCTGGCCTCGGACCCCT